CAATGAGATTGGCACAGGATAGAACAGGGTTTAGGGCTGTTGTAAGTAGGGTCGCTATAAGTCGCAAACGACTCGATGGCACATAACAACAACAACAACAACAAAACAATACATGTATAAGTGATTAAACAGAAAACCAATGGCTTTGCAAAATTTCACTCAAGTCACAATAAAATAAAAAAATAAGTGAATAAAAATTAGAAGCAACTGAAGTGCCAATGAACAGACAAAAATGAATAAACAAACCATGGGAATACACACACACACACACGCACAGTGGAATACTGTGCAACACTGAAGGAAAACAGAGTTTGTGAAACACTACATAACATGGATAAGTCTAGACAACATGATGCTGTAAAAAACATGCCAGACACAAAAAAATAAAGACTGTAGGAGTCACTATATAAAAAGCTCAGAGAAAGTATACAAAATTAACTAGTTTTAGGTGGCTTCAAGGAATATATCGTGAGTAAAACTAAAAATAAAGAGGGTCATTAACACTGTCTATAAACAAAAATTTAAGACATAAAAATTAACTAGAAAAAGGTACAAAAAATTTTAATAGAATCAAAAGAATCTATTTTTGAGCAAAAACCAAAAAATAAATAGCCTAGATAATATAATAGTGTTCCAGACTTAAATTTCCCTGAAATCTGGAATTAGGTGTAACAAGTTTCTAATAATAATGGTGTATAATGTTTGTTTGCTCTAGATGAGTAGAGAAAGACTGTAAATCAGTAAGTGACGATGACTTATGATTGAGATTTAGGATTTTGTGTATTCCAATCCTTTTTTTTTTTTTTGTGATATAAAATAGAATGTATATGAATGATGGTATAAAACACAAAGGGCAAGCTGGTTTGGGTAAAGGGGCCAGAGAACCGGCTTCCCGCCTCCAGGGGCAGCGGAACGGGGGGGCCGACCAGCGGGCGGCCCGAGCCAGTGGCCGCCATTCCGGTGTTGCTGCGCCAGCGGGGCCCGCCCGAGCCGGCCACCATGCCGCTGGGCCTGAAGGCCACCTGCAGCGTTTGCAAGACCACGTCGTCCTCGATGTGGAAGAAGGGCCCGCAGGGGGAGATCCTCTGTCACCACTGCACAGGCCGGGGCGGCGCGGGCGGCGCGGGCACCGGTTCGGGGGCGGCTGGTGGGACGTGGGGCGGCGGTGGCGGCAGCGGCTTTGGCGCGGCGGCCTTCGCCAGCACCTTGGCCGCCCCTCCGCAGAGCAGCGGGGGCGGGGGCGGCAAGCAGAAGAGCTCCCCAGGCCTCACCCGCCGGCGGAGGCCGACCTGGGCTTGAGGCGGACGGAGGCCCGGCCGGCGGGGAGGGGGCGGTGGTAGGGGCCTTCCCGGATCGCGATGCCCCTCTTGGGCCGTGCCGCCTCTTACACACCCCCAGATGAAAAGACCTTCATTGAGTAAGCAGGAAATTCACCTGAGGTCTGATCGGCTCAGAAATACTAAGTACAAGTCTGCTCCAGCCGCTGAAAAGAAAATTTCCACCAAAGGAAAAGGGAGAAGACATATTTTTAAGTTAAAAAATCCCATCAAAGCTCCAGAATCAGTTTCCACAATAATCACTGCAGAAACAATCTTCTACAAGGGAGTATATTACCAAATTGGAGATGTTGTGTCCGTGATTGATGAACAGGATGGAAAGCCTTACTATGCACAGATCAGAGGTTTTATTCAGGATCAATATTGTGAGAAAAGTGCAGCAGTAATGTGGCTCGTTCCCACTCTCTCTAGCCCCAGATACCAATTTGATCCCGCATCATATGTCATAGGACCAGAGGAAGATCTTCCAAGGAAGATGGAATATTTGGAATGTGTCTGTCATGCACCTTCTGAATATTTCAAGTCACGATCTTCACCATTTCCCACTGTGCCCACCAGACCAGAGAAAGGCTATATATGGACACATGTCGGACCTACACCCGCAATAACTATTAAGGAAAGTGTTGCCAATCATTTGTGGCTTTAAATGAAAACTGGGTTTCCAGTTACCTTGTGGTTGTACAGTACTACTGCAAGATACATGTGTTTCTTTTATGAAACTCTTAGATGGAAAAAGAATCTAAAATAAAGTTTTCTCTACTATCCAATAATAACTGGCTTCTTTATTAATAATTATTTACAAAAGTAAAAGGGATAGTAAAGAAAGAAATATATTTTGAAATTAAATATTATAATTCCAATATGTAACTTCCCAAGCAAAAAGCTTGATATTTTTAGGGAAGATAAGTATCCATTTTTCTCCATAACTTATTTCTAGGACCTGCATTAAGATTTCTTGCATTTTTTCATAGCTATAAGATTTTAGTTAGATTTTAATTTCTGAACAAGTGCTTACAATCAAATAAAATGTAGATATGACTGAAAGTATCATTAAATCACATAACCCTTAGTTTTCTCACCTGGAAAATGCTGTGAAAGACAATTTAAAACTCATTTGCTGCTTTAACCTCTTAAAAAAGGTAATTGGTAAATGGTTTTCTAGGTCTAGATTTTTTTATTGTGGTTTAAGCAAAAGTTTACTAACAAAGTTTGTTTTGCATTGAATGTTCTTCCATATTTTGTTTTATGATATGAATTATAATACAATGTAACATCATTCTTCTCACTTCTCCCAGTGAATCTCCTTTCCATTGATCCTTGTATTCTACCCATTCCTGCCTTCTGGATATTACCCTTGGGCAAAGGCTGCTCTTTGGACCCTATGTGATTGGCTGTTGTCTAGTGAGGTGGCCCAGACTTTTTTAAAAAACTCAACTAATTCTGTAAAAAAAAAACACCAAACAAAAAACACAAAGGGCATGTACAAAACACAGACTGTACCAATGATTCTATGCTCAATCCATTTTTAATGTTAATAGTTTTTCTAATTTTTCTGTAGTAAATATATACTCATTGTGAAATAAAAGAGAGAAATTGCAACAAAATACCCTTAAATGCTAATGCTTATACCATTTATTGTAATAACTCTACTTTCAATAACTGTAAGATACATATAATAAGAGATATCAGAAATTTTTTCTTTTATTATGTTTATTAAAATAAAATGCTGTTTAGGATTCAGAAAAGATGATATAAGGAGAGCTAGATTTATGATGAAGAGATTCAGAGTTGCAGCCTTTATTTCTTGGTGCACTTTCTATTTTTCTTTCATGGAAATAAATAGCTTCCTGCAACTATTGTACAAAATTTTGCAGAAAGATTATTGTTATATTTTCAAAAAGAAAATGTTCTATTTAAACTGTTATTTTTAAAATAATTTTTATGAGAATTTACAGAGATTTTG